TTGAAATTTCACAACTCGATCCAATTATCACATATTTGGATGAGGTGTTTATGTAATCAAATATGGATTTTTCAATTTGCATCCAATTAATAATAAAAAATAAATAAAAAACAACAAATAAAAAAATACATATTTATATAATTTTTTTGATACATTATTACTATCATTCCTACTTGCAAACATTATTTTGAGAACCTACCTACTATAATACATATTAGGGGAAATTCCCGATTGGTACCTTGTACTTAGGGTCTAGTGTGACTTTGGTCCCCCGAACTTTAAAACGCAACAATTAAGTACCCGAACTTCCAAAACATGCCAATTTAGTACCTACCATTAATCGGCCATTTAACCAACCGTTAAGTGGCATTTGAAAAGACACAAATGTCCTTCAAGTGTCATATAATCTTTCTTTATCAATCTTCCAAACATTGACTAAAAATGAACAGTCCCAAATCCTTGCCTCTTTTATTCATGAAAGTTGGGATCATCAAAATGCTTGCTGAGACGTGACCCCGACTTTCTTGAATAGAAGAGAAAATGATTTGGGACTATTCATTTTTTGTTAATGTTTGGATGATTAATAAAGAAAATTAGATGACACTTGAAGAGAATTTCGTGTCTTTTCAAATGCCACTTAACAACTAGTTAACAACAGGTATTGCATTGGCACATTTTGAAAGTTCAAGTACTAAATTACCGCGTTTTTAAGTTTTTTTTTGATAATTGAAAATGATTTCATTAAACAATAGGAATAAGATTTTACAAGAATCCCTTGGAGAGGCACGAGATGCAGCCTTCCCTAACCGTTACAAAAGATTAAAAAAAAAATTATAGTGCTGCCTAGAATAAATGGTCCCTAGTAGTCCCATGTTTAGCAAGATGATCAGCCAAAGCATTTGCCTCCCTACCCATCCACTGATATCTACATGTCATGTGCCTTGTTAAACATTTAACTTTTTTTATGAGATCCCTATAACTCCAAACAACCGAATCCGGATTTGACAACCAGCCCACAATCACCTTAAAATCCCCTTCAATCAATAGGTTCTCCACTCCTAGTTGATTAGGAATCTGAATTCCTTGTCCTACAACCAATATCTCAGCTCTTGTAGAGTCCCCTATCCCTATTGGGCTTGAGAATAAGGGTTACCCTGGCTGCTTCTATCAAAATTCAGTTAAAAAAAAAACTTATGGGGGAGCTACCCAAACTATAGTGGCTCTGGTTTTCCTAACCGAAGTGTATGCAACTGTGGCCCAAAGTGGCACTAGGCCCAAAGTTTGGGGTTTTAATTGAGAATTTTCCCTTTTTCATATTACATAACGCGTGTGTACACACACATACATACATACATACATACATACATACATAGACACAAACACTTTGAATTGGGTAGGGTGGACAAATACCAACCCTACCTCATCTCTGATCACTAAAGTCTTGAGTCCCCCAAACTTGATTGATAGTAAAATAATCACCTCGACCAAGTGGGGGTCAAATAAACCATAATTTGCATTTTCATACATTTGCATTGTAGATAAATGGTGTCATATTAACATTTTTTAGGTGGGATATGGTTCACAAATAGGTTTATGGCATACATAAATTACTTGTCATTGGCTATAATACGCCTTTACAACCTAATTTATTTAAGTCTACTTATCAAAATATTTGTATAGATGGAAAAACAAGTTTCATTTTTTACTTTTGTAATGGTGCTTGGATTAGTTATAGACAAAATAATACACAACGGATTAGGAAACAACCTATTACGAGTGAACACCCAAGTGTTCTGTATGCATTAGGGGTGTCCATGAAAAACCGAACTGAGAAAATTGAATTGCAAAATGCGGTTAACCGAATCGATTGGTTCGGGATTTTTGAAAAACCGAATGACCAGTTCAGTTTTCAATTAACCTACAAAAAAGCTGATGGTTAACCGAACCGACCGGTATATATATTTTATATTTATTTTAATATATGTCACATATTTTCTATGTATTATATATTCATTATATATATAAATATATGGTTATATTATATTTATAATGATCTATTTATAAATATATTATATATTATATATTTTTCAAATATTTATAATATATTATTTATAATATAACATTATACATATATTTGTATAATAAATATTATAAATATAAAAAACCGAAGAACTGAACCAGTAAAAAACCGAAACCGACAGACTGGTTAACCGGTGGTACCGATTCGATTTCATTTTGGAGAATTGGAAAAACCGGTACCACCGGTTTAATTTACAAAAAAGTGCCATATTTCAGTTAACCGAACCGTGGACACCCCTAGTATGCATAAGGTGTGGGTTTAACATGGGGCCTATGTGTATTGTCCACCTCATTGTGCAGGATTTTGTCTCTAGGCCCCTTGGGTCCATAAAATAATTACTTGTAGCAAACCAAACACCCTATCGTAATTAGAAAGTAGGAGTAACGATATGAAAGTAGCATTCTAGCAAGAATAGGTTTGCCCATAGCTCTGTTTCGGGCTATAGAACCAATCATAACTCCACACCCCAGCCATAAAGTGCACATGGTGGACAACCATCCACTTTCGGGCTATAGAGAGGCCTTGGACAAGGAGACTCATTATCTCCTTACTTGTTTATCATTGGCATGGAAGTTCTTGCACAACTCTTACAACAAGCAGTAGACACGAATCAAATAGAAGGTGACAAGTTAGCTCAAGAAAGCATCCCAATAACTCACCTCTTATTTGCAGGTGACTGCATTATTTTCTAAAGAATTGACATTGATTAAGTAAAGGCTCTACATAAAATTCTAGAGTTTTTTTTAAAATCTATTTCATGATAAAAAATCAATCATGGGAAATCTAGCATCATGTATGGTAGATGTGTGCCTAAGCATCAAATATTAAAAATTAGAAAGCCACTAGAGGGCTCAAAATATCTAGGCACAAAAGTGGGAGTTAAAATCAAGATTCATCTTTTTCATAAATAAATGTTGGATTGCGTTCTTTCCGGAACCAATGATTGGAGCTCTAAACTATTGTCACATGCAAGTAGAACAACATTAGTCAAGTTAGTCATCCAATCCATTCCCGTATATTCGATGTCTACCACAATCTTGACAAATAAGATTCACTCACAAATAGAATAGGCATTAGTCGTCGTCAAGTCAGCCATTCAATCCATTCCCGTATATTCGATGTGATTGTATATTACAATCTTGGCAAATGAGATTCACTCACAAATAGAATAGGCATTGAGAAAATTTGGGTGGCAATAGAAAAGACAAACTCTAAAATGATGCAAACATGCGTGAGTGCAAATATGTAGAGTGTAAAATGGTTCATATAAATTACAAAGTTGGGTTAATTTTGTATTGACAAATTTACTTTCTTACCAAATAGATATTTAGTTGTAATGGATGTAAACACAAATTGTAATAAAATATATGTTTTTTTTTTAATCAAAAGCCCACTTAAATGCAATTTTACTTCTTTTTTATTGATGTACTTTTACATCTTATTATCAATGTAAATATGCACGGGTCTGTAATTTACCAATGCAAAAATATAATGTTGCCAAACACAAGCAAAAGTGAACCAGAGTACAAATTTATCCTGAACCGGAATTTACACTCCATTTGCATCGTTTCCAAATGCAGCCTAAGCACATGATTCATGGAATAAATTTTGCTTGTCAAGGGCTGTGGTGGATTGGGACTTAGAAAGAGCTTGCCGATGAATCAAGTGGTGTTTGGTAAGAAACTATGGAGGTTATTTACCAATCCTGAGTGCTTATGGAGTCGGGTTATGAAGCAAAAATAAATTTCAAATAAAAGCCCATTATTTGCAAATAATTTTCATTATGCTGGAAACAAGCTCACAAGTTACTCAAGGATCTGAAATCAAAATTTATGTGACTGATCAAAGATGGCTTCTCCATTTGTGCTCTTCATGATCCTTCCCCAAACAAATCATCCCTTGCCTAACCATGTTCAACAACTCAAAGTTGTAGAACTAGTTAATTTAAGTCACTATTTTCAAGCTTCAATAACTCATATTAGAGCTATTAGACCTCCTCACATGGAGCTTAACTTGAATAAATTATTGAGGAATTGTATGTTATAATGCGTGGTTTTGCTAGAGCAATTTGGAGAGAGATGTTCTGTTTTTCCTTATAGGTCAATCAAAACCGAACCAATAACTTTGATTTTTGAAACATACCGAATCATTGATTGATTTGGTGAGTGTTTAGAACCAATGCTGTTGTTTTTGAAAAACTATGCTATGTCGACACCATGTTTGAAATATGTTTTTTCACATCACACATGATGTCTAGTTAAATGTTTGTTAAAAAAAAGTTTTATTTTGGACCATACTTTGAAAATTGGGAAAGGTGTGATCAGACAAAACATATTTTTTCGTGTTTTATTGCCTTTTCTAATATTACTGAAATGGCGTTGAAAAAACGTCTATATAGCATCGACGGTCAAAACACGTTTTTAATAAGAAAATGCCAATAAGCACTGCTTTTTGAGACCAGATCAGCTTTTTTTCTTACATAGCGCACCTCACACCGACCTCACACTCAAATCCATCGTGCATTGGAAATATTTCTCATGAATAATAATTCATATAAAAAAGGGAAATATTCTCAATACATGGTGGGATGTATATGTGAGATCGGTGTGAGGTGCGATCTGTGAGCAACAGATCCGGTCTCCTGTTTTTTTTTTTCAAAAAAACACCTATCCTTAAATGGCGTTGATTCCATACTTTGAGCGCGCCTCACAGTATATCCTAACCGCTCATCGGGAACATCTGTCATATTTATATTTATTATCGGATGTAACTGTGAGGTTGTTCTGAGGCGCGATTGGTTAGGAGCATATCCCAATTCTAAGCTCTTCACTTCTTGACTCAAATGGTCAACGGACTCAGCGCCCCACGAATTACCAAAATAAATTAACTGAACACCCCATGAACGGATGAATCCATTGAACTCCACTTCTAAGCTCTTCACAATCCCTTGCATTCTTTTCGCTTCTTCAGAGTTTACGGAATCAGAAGATTCTGTACGAAGAACAGTAAACTTGGGTCTCATATTTGTTTATTTTCGCAAAAGAATTAAATTACCAGTTTCTGATGGCCTTGAGATTAAAAGTTCTATAATTTCGTTCAAAAAATTTCATTGCAATCTCTCGTTGTCAAGTCCTTTATTTTTTCCCTTTCAAAATTTATTTTTCCGAGGAAATTTTAAATGGAGAGGAGGAGATCAGCAGTTGGGTTCTCTCTAGGGTTTTCGGTGTTGTTTTTATTTGTGGGGGTTTCTCTAATATCGCCGGCCACGGCGAGATTCGTGGTGGAGAAGAACAGTTTAACTGTGACATCTCCTGACAGCATAAAAGGTACACATGACAGTGCCATCGGGAATTTCGGAATCCCTCAGTATGGAGGGAGCATGGCCGGAACGGTTATTTATCCTAAGGAGAACATGAAGGGTTGCAAGGATTTCGACGATTTCGGTATATCGTTCAAGACAAAGAGCGGAGCTCTCCCTACATTTGTTTTGGTCGATCGAGGAGGTATGTGATCCTAATTTGACAGAATTACATTGCTTTTACTCCTCTCAACTTTGGGGTACCAGTTCGTTCTAGAAGTTTCGGTATCTTGTTGTCATGAGCAGTTCTCTTTCTGTTATGTATTTTATGTTTGATCTTCGAGCATGAYTAGCTATGAGGTATTAAAATTCCACAGTTTATTCTAATTTAGAATTTTTAGATTGTATCCTTCATAATTTGTTTCTGTTGGAGCTGGCTCAAGAGTTTTAACGAGTAAAACTACTTCTGTATTTATGGTGTTTCAGCTTGTTCTACTGCAGTATTGCATTTGTATCGCTATACTTTTGCATTCTGGAGCCTGTTGTTGCTGTGCTTGTATAAACTTCACAAATGGTCTCTTATGGATGTCTTGCGTGGTTTGCCTATATTAATCAACATATTGAACCATGCCCTGATATTGTCCAACTAAGACATGAACTTACCATTTTGCGATTGTGGACAGTTTATAGCCTGTTTTTATAGGGATTGATATCGCTAGCTGAGTTTACTCAAGGGGACTAAGAACTTTGCATGCCTATTGTTGCCGGTCGAAATGGGCTGAGGGCAGCACAGTTAATTCGCTCCCAAGCCAAGGTGCCGGGGTGCCGAGGTGCCGTGGAGGAGTCCAAGGCCTGGAGGTGCCGAGGACTATTGGGTCGGTCCTGCACGGAGTGAAAGGAGAACATCATAGGCCCCGGGTTGGTACCCGAGGCGGAGACTCCGACGGTCAAGTTAGTACAAGGGAGGTGCAAGGTGGATGAGGCCTGAGGTTGAACACTCAGACGAGGCCACAAAGGAGAATAAGAGTTCCCAAATGCTCGTTCTTGAGTCACAGTTTCAGTCCCTTACCTTGAGGGGGTTAGCTCCTTTTATACTTGAGGTTGCCTGGAGGTAGGTGAGCTCGGACGGCTTGGATGCAGTCCATACGTGAGGAGCGTGGTCATCCGAGGTCGCCAATTGACTCTGCGCTATTGGTTTCGGGGAGGCCACCGAGCTCTGTTCCGTGCGCGCCCTGATTGGGTCCTCTCTGAATGCCGCCGCCGCCTAACACATGTAGGCCCGCTATTGGGCAGGGCCACATGCGCCTACATCACCTATTACCTGCAAACTAATTTCGTCTTCATCTTTGAAATGGTTTTTAAGGTCTAATGCACAAAGTGGAATTTATAGAATCCCTAGATGCTTTCAAACTGTATATACATGTTGCCCTCTTATCACTGAATTTTGGTTTTTAAATTGCATTTTATCACCTAGGAGTAGCTCGAATAGGTAATATAATGAAAGAAAGTAGATTGAGATGGTTTGATGACTTCAATCACGTGCATAGAAGTCTGTCAATGACACCCATAAGAAGAAGTGATTTGTTGCAAGTTGAAGGGGCTAGAAGGGCTAGGTGTAGACCAATTTAGGAGTCAATAATTTAACAATGGGTATGGCATTAAACAGAATGGTATGGAAAACAGGATTCATGTAGCTGACCCCATATAGTTGGGATAAGGCTTGGGTGGTGATGATTATGATGAATTGTTCAGATAGTCTGTTACATTGCAGGTGAAAATGGATTTTGTTTTTAGCGGATACAATGACCCTTCATTGATTGAGATTTCTGAGTCTGATGGAGGAGACTCTGATTTCAGTTTGTTGAAGAGCTGAAGAGGATGATGTTAGAGGGAAGCTGAGTTAACAAATCCTTATCTCATGACTCAATCATATAGAATTGGCTGTAGGAAGTCTGTTTTTCCCTTCTACTTTATCAAAGGTGATGTCCCCTGTTAAATTGCATGGTGCAGATCTTTACAGCCTATCAGTTTGCATTACGTTACTCTGTCTTAATGGTGCAGTAGGTGGTCTTCTATTTAAGTAACTAATTGTCTTACTCTGTCTTACTAGGGCATCCATCCACTTGAATATGGGTGTGATGATGTAGAAATACTGCAGACGTTTTGAAGCTGCAGGCCCAATACCCCTTTGATGTGAGGATCTAACTGGAACAAGGAGCAAAAGAGATGCAAGTGGGAGGACTTCCTGGGAGGGTTCACCTAGTGTAGAGAGTGGCCCTTAATAGAAGGAGAAAAAACATTCAAGGAAAATAGTCAAAATTTCAACCTCATACTGAGTTGTGCGGTTACTACTGTATTACACTTTTGGATTATGTGCATCTTAGTCTGTTCTAGTTTTCAATGTCAGTTGGTCTCAATAACCACCTTTAATCACATAAAGATTTGAAAACAGACCAAGTATTTCCATGATATGTTAATTTTTGTGATTCTCAAGTCAGTATGACAAGACCAGCGCATTATTTCTATCCATACCAACCATCTTGTTAAAGCATTCTTTTGTTACTATTTTCCCTACCAAACCTGGTAGCTTATTCAACAAGCAAGAGGGGAATGATATTATGGAAGATTGTTCATTTTGCTGTGTTGGCCGTTTATGGAAGGAAAGAAACAATAGGTTCTTCAAAGAATCTGCTATGAAGGAGGTGCTAATTGGCCATATGGGGAGACTAGCAATTTTTTTGGTCTAAGGCCCATAAAATGCTTCTTCAGATTCTCTCTCTCTCTCTTTTGTGTAATCAATTACGATGATAATAGATAATAAGTTTGTAGTTCCATCCTGCTAGATGTACAGATAATCTATACTCGGGGCTTAGTAATTAGCCTCTATTTTTGTATATGATTTTGGAGGGTTCCTTCCCTCCTTTTACTACAACAATACTTTAACTTTTGAGGAAAAAAAAGAATAGGGATGGCATCCTATTATTAATTGATGTGTTTGCAAATGGGCCATTCCAGGCTGCCTAGAGTAAAATAGTAACCGAGGACTCAATTTCTATAAGATCGATCCAACTTGGCCTGTAAAATCCCTTGTCCCAGGACATGCATGAGGACAAGGATCAACTCCAACTAGTCCCTTTGATACAATTTTGAGTCAGCCTAGGTCCATTAATGTCAAGACTTGAATCTTATGCAAATAAGAAAAAAGAAACACATACATTCACCTTAATGGTAGTGCTTCATTGATAATAACTTGTGTTAATGAAGTTAAAGCTGAATTTGGCAATATTGATTATTTTTTTTTAAACTTTTCAAAATAAACCATTGAGAAAAATGAAAGAAAAGGGCACAAAATTCAGAAGTCTTAATTTAAAAAGGTCCAAGCAAAATTTATTCCTTTTCAATGAAAATAGAAAAGAGAATAAGAGTAAAAAGATCTGGATAAGATTCAGAAAAATGTTTGATAAGTGTTGCCTTAAAGAGAAGATGAGAATAATGAAAAGGAACAGTAGTGAATGCAGAAAAAATTGAAATAGAATATAGTCAGGGGAACTGGGGACAGTAAGGTTTATTTTCAGAGAGAGAGAGCTGGGCGATTTGCAGATTTACCGGCCTCTCTCAGACTTTCAGATTTCAACACCATAGGACTAGGGTTTGGTTTGGTTGTTAAACTTACTTCAGACAGAGCTGGACGATCTGGTAGGAACATATTACCTATGGTTGATTTCATTTGTAAAAATTTTTTACACCTTGTACTTTTGGTCTTTCACTTTGCTAGACTTTAGTAGGTTACAGTTTCAGAATTTTGCTTTGGATTGGGGTGGATCTTCCCTGATCTCTTTTTAGTTTTTCTGAAGCATGTACATCTTTTGTGTTATCTGATCCATGTATCTATTTTTCCATACTTGTACAACTTGTATGGGTTATCAAGGAAAAATGTAAAAAGTTTAGGTTATTGTATTAAAAAAAACTTCCATTTCAAGTCCTTTTATCTTGTTATAAAAAGTGCATAAGTGTTTTCTGAAATATACATTATTACATATATAAATATGTTATATGTGTTGATATCATGCTTGGATAATTCAGGGAGCATCTAAATTTGATCTGATTATAAATGAAGGTTAGTTTTGCTAACAATTTTTAATTCAGTTAGGTTACTTGGGTGTAATTGAACATTTATTTGATCCATTGACAACATCACATGCATAGAAGTATTATTTTGATGCCATAGACTAAAAAGCATGGATAACATCAATTATAAAAAAAAGCATGGATATCATCATCATCACTTGTATCACCATTTTAATTATCAGTCATGGTTGTAATGATTGGAATCATAATCACTCCCAAAGGTTTATGTCCATATCCAGTCCACCCCTCTCATGACCCAGATAGCTGGGACCAACATTGAGTAAGAACCCCTGAAATGGAAACCTGTAAAGTGGAGGATATGAGTAAATATTAGCATTCTTCTTCAAGTACTAAACTTTTTGTTTTGTTTTAATTGAAGACAAGTTTAAGGGATTAATCTACTTTGGATTCCTTTACAGACTGCTTTTTCGCTTTAAAAGTTTGGAATGCTCAGAAGGCTGGGGCTTCTGCAGTGCTTGTTGCAGATGACATTGAGGAACCATTGATAACTATGGATTCACCACAAGAGGATGGTGGATCTGCAAAGTATATTGAGAACATTACAATTCCTTCTGCACTTATTGATAAAAAATTTGGTGACAAATTAAAGAAGGCACTCAGCTCTGGGGATATGGTTAATGTTAATCTTGATTGGAGGGAAGCTGTTCCACACCCGGATGATCGTGTGGAATATGAGCTCTGGACCAATAGTAATGATGAATGCGGAGTCAAGTGTGATATGTTGATGGAGTTTGTGAAAAATTTCAAAGGTGCAGCACAAATACTTGAAAAAGGTGGTTATACCCAGTTCAGACCCCATTATATAACTTGGTATTGTCCTCAGGCCTTCACAGTGAGCAAACAGTGCAAGTCCCAATGCATCAATCATGGAAGATATTGTGCACCTGATCCTGAGCAGGATTTCAGCCAAGGTTATGAAGGGAAAGATGTAGTTATTGAAAACTTAAGGCAATTATGTGCTTTTAGAGTAGCAAATGAATCAAAAAAGCCTTGGGTTTGGTGGGATTATGTAACTGATTTTCAAATAAGATGTCCAATGAAGCAGAAAAAATACAACAAAGAGTGTGCTGATGCTGTTATCCAATCTCTAGGTAAGATTCTTTTTTTTTTCCTGCATTCTTGGATTTTATGTATACATATTGTCATTAATGAAACATGTATAATATATATGTTGCATCTGGGTAGGGATTGATATCAAACAGGTAGAGAAGTGTATGGGAGACCCAAATACTGACTCTGAAAATCCTGTTCTTGAAGAAGAGCAAGATGCTCAAGTAAGCCTCTCTCCTCTACATTTTCTTCTACAACTTTTCAAGTGGTTCCATGGCATCTTTTAGTGAATTGGTGTAGCCCATCATATGCAATTCATCAAAGTCTGTCAGTTTCATTTTTATATATGAACTGTAAGATGATAGGAAATGTTTCCTGCAGGTTGGAAAAGGATCAAGAGGCGATGTGACAATACTGCCTACCCTTGTTGTTAATAATAGACAATATCGAGGTTGATCTTAGAATCTTGCATTTCTTGGTGCAACAACATCTAGGATGTCTTTGGTTCTAAAATATTTATGTACAGGGAAACTGGATAAAAGTGCTGTTCTTAAGGCCATCTGCTCTGGTTTTGAGGAAACTACTGAGCCAGCTGTTTGTTTAAGTGGCGGTGAGCTTTAATTATAACTTTTGAAAATTTCACACCCTTTGATTGATGTGCTTGTTTGGAACATCATTTTTGAGAATTGAGATATAATTTGTTTTATGCAGATATAGAGACAAATGAGTGTTTGGATAATAATGGTGGTTGCTGGCAAGATAAAACAGCCAATATCACTGCTTGCAAGGTAGTAATCAAATAATGTATATAGCTTTACATGTTTCTAATTATTTCTATTACTATAACAGTTGCCCACTTTACTCAGGATACATTCCGTGGAAGAGTATGTGAGTGTCCCATGGTTGACGGTGTGCAGTTTAGAGGAGATGGTTACAGCACCTGTCAAGGTCTCCCTCCCTCCCGCCCCCTCTGCATGCGTGTGAAGAAGTGAATTCATGCTTATCAGAAATATTTCTTTTCTTTCTAATCCAATTATATGCGTATCTTACAGTCACTTGAAGCTCTTTCCCCAGCATCCATCAATTTATGCAATTATTTTCACCTTCTAATTAATTTCATGCATAATTCTGTGCCTAACCTCTATGTTGGATTCTAAGTAGCCTCTGATCTGTGAGAAGGGGAAAAGAAATTCAGATTTTGTTTATTCTCTCTAGAGGAAAAGACTTGGGGTCTTTTTGATAGCACAGCTGAAATGACTGAATTGAATGACTTGGTGCTTTGTCTTTTAGTGAATCCCACCATCATGGGTTTGACCTGAACTCTGTAACAATCTTTAATTCTCAATAAAGTAATATGTCATCTTTCAAAAAAAAAGTAGGGTTGATTATCATAATCTTGATATTTTTAATTATCTATTTATTTTATCCATTAGAAGACATTCAGTTTACCTCTTCAGCTGTTATCAAATGGTCCCTTAGAGAAAAAATGTACATTTTGAAGAAACTAAAGGTATCTGAGAAAATATAATAAGTCTATCAGGCTTAATGGTGACAATACTTTTGAAAATTATGACAATTTAGAAAAGAGTCATCATACTAGTGGAAAATAAGTACTGCTTTCAAAGTTCACTTCTAGAAGAAACTTGTGGAAGGCCTAAAAATCTTATTTCTCTTAGGCACATGCTTTTTTTTTTGGAAAAAGGACAAATATATATATATATATATATATATATATATATGTGTGTGTGTGTGTGTGTGTGTGTGTGTGTGTGTGTGTGTGTGTCTAAGTAAATATCTTTTGGACATCCTAACATCCTAAAAGTTGCAAATTCATTTTGACCATTCCAACCCCATGTTGATGATGGCTTTGGAGATTGCAGTCATTATGTGCCATTAAGGGTCATTACTCGGTGCAATAGTAAATGCTTGGGCTGCCAAGCACAGGTAATGGAATTACTCAGTGAAATGGTAAGGTCTTGGGGCTGCAAAGTATGAGAACACAGGTTTAGGTTTGAAAGTGGTCACTTTTTGCAAGAAAAAGCTGGATGATGTACTTTTATATTTAAAATTTTCTATTCGCCTGCCATTTTATACATCAATATATCCTTGCATATGTAGGCTTTTCCTTCTTAAGCATTAATATGGTAAATCAGTTTTTCAATTGATTATATGCACATCAGTTCTAGTAGGTGTCTCGTATTCTTGTTCTTTCATAGCTTGACTACCAACTAAAAATTTCTTGTTCCTTTCCTGGTATCTTATAGCTATGCTTTGATACTATTTTTCACCTTGCAGCAAGTGGACCTGGACGGTGTAAGGTAAATAACGGTGGTTGTTGGCATGAAACTCGGGATGGGAAGACCTTTTCTGCCTGTGTGGTTGGTGATATTATTTTTTTGTTATTTATTCACATAGATTTAGAAATCTATATAGTATATAACTATATACTATATTTTGTCATTGTCAGGATGTTGAAGGCAGTAAGTGCAAGTGTCCTCCAGGATTTAGAGGTGATGGTGTCAAAAGCTGTGAAGGTAAGAGATCCCACCTTATCTGTATCTTCCATTCTATGATTATAGCCCATGGTACAGTGTACACAGTACACGATCTGCAAGCCTTATATGTGTCTTGGCAAATATGCATGCATGTATAAGTTCATTGATACTGGAGTTCTTTGCTGTTTGTATCATGGTCTATATAGCGATATACTTGCTTTCATATTGATTACAACAAGAAAACATTTGAAGAGGATCCATCATGAAAGTGCAGTGGAATGAGTAACTTTCCAGATTGATAAAACTGTAATTGCTTTAGCATATAACATAAAGGGGCCATGGGCATGCCCGATTTAACAGTTCTGTTTTTTGTGTAACTTGTTCTTGCCACTGATAGATATTGACGAGTGCAAAGAAAAGAAGCGTTGTCAGTGCCCTGAATGCAGCTGCAAGAATACATGGGGTAGCTATGATTGCACTTGCAGTGGAGAGCTCTTGTACATCAGGGACCACGACACTTGCATAAGTGAGTATGTCGACTCTCTCTGTCTCTCTCATGCTTATATGTGTGCAAAGACACAGATCATGAATCCACAACACTTGCACAAGTGAGCTAAGCCCAAGCTTTGCGAGTGAATACATGTGCACATGGGAAGAAACTTGTTACTTCCACTGCTTTATTTGGTTTTTTCTTTGATCTGCAGGTAAGAGGGCTGGTGAAGTAAAAACTGCATGGGCTGCTGTGTGGGTCATTCTAATAGGATTGGCCATTGCTGCTGGTGGAGCATATCTTGTTTACAAATATAGATTAAGAGTAAGTACACTATACTTAAATCCCTTAATATTGGTAAAATTCCTAGTGGGTTATGCTTATGTTTGGATAGGTATTAAGCTTTTGGTTGTGCAACTAGAACTTGCTCTTGATAGTTGTCATCTTAAACTGTATGTTATGCATATGGAATTACTTGAGAATGACCAGATTATTGTATCCCCCCTTCAGTAAGTCTTGTCCTTGATCTGAGATTGTTAACGTTTATTCTAAATTTCTATTTCAGTCATACATGGACTCAGAGATCAGAGCCATTATGGCACAGTACATGCCACTAGACAGCCAAACAGAGGTCCCAAATCATGTAGGACATGATCGCACCTAAAGCAAGCTCTTCTGTTCTATTTTTTGACTCCTGGGCTGTGCAGACATATGTTGTGCTTCTCTTTATCTGGTGGCATTTGGTTCTGTAAATTATGGTGGTTCAAAAAGGCTGTACAAGAGATTACCCTGAGATTTAAGAGAATGTTTAGATAGGGTTTGGTCATTTGGGGGGAGGGGGAGGCNGGGTTGATTTTAGTCACTATTCCTATTCTTATTAAATGCTATACTGTGGATGTCCTCTAATTCAAAGAGAAATTGTGTGATTCACGTAGAGCTATGTGGACTAAACATGGATCATGTGTACTAACTGGACCTATTTAATTTTCTTCATATATAAAGTCTGTGCTTTGGACCTCTCATAAAGGTACTGCTTTGCCATCGTTTGTGAGTGCATGGATCAGTTAGGTCCTAACTTTTTTATGCTGTGTTTGGTCTGAAAGAAAAGGGAGGGAAAGACCTTGTACAGGTTTCCCTACCTTTTCTTTGAAACCAAACATAGGCATAGCCTTTACTGAAGCTGTAAAGGAATCAACTATGGTTGTTTTTGCCTTTTTGGATAAGCTTCAAGACTTTGCTTTTAAAGCTGAAAAGCACAAATCCACAATTTGATGCGTTGTGCTTTGGGGTTTAGAAGTATTATGTCTTAAGATTATAATGTTCCAAACACTTGAGACGCCTATTGGTTCAGTTTTTTGCCCCACAGCCCAATGCTCAATGGCAAAAGCTTATTCAAACAGGGCCTAAGATGTCCAATTCAAACCTGACGGGTATTTTGATCATGATATATATGCTTTACACTCCAATATCCTGCTCATAATGGGATAGAGGGTTTCTAATGGTCCCCCATTTTTTCCGACTTATGCAGTAAAAATAACGGATCAAGTAAAACACTTCCAGAAACAGCAGCATGACATTTATTATAACAGAAACAATGGTTTGTGACAGCCAATATATCAGTCATCTAACCGTTAAAATCCTGGCAATGTGCCATCTGGTTGGTAAGGTATCCAGCTCGTTGTAGCGGAGGCTTGGTGGTGGGGGATGAGTGTTGAGGGTTCGGATCTGCTCCTCACAGATCCGTGCATCATTTCAAAGTGTTGAGGGTTCGGCCAGCATGTTTCAACCGTGCATCATTGGGAATATTTTCTCATGAAATAAAATTTATAATTTCAAAGATGTTCCAGATGCATGGCTTAAACAAGCTGTGAAATCAGTGTGAGCTCGTGTGTTGGGGAGTGTAGCCCATGGAGAGAGAGAGAGAGAGAGACTATGATCATTGTAGTGAATCATGATCTACTCTTCAGAGCGCATCTCATACGGACCTCACAGCCCCATCTCACCATGTACTGAAAGCATCTCCCTATGAATAACACAAAGAATGAAATATGTTTCCAATACACGGTGGGATGAGTCTGTAAAGAGCAGATCCAGACTCCATTGTAACACCTACTTTCTACTATTACAAGTGGTGATTACCGAAACTAATCCATGGAAAATCAGGGGAGGGGTCAAGGGGCTTGGATCTGCTATGCACATGCTGTTTCCAAATTTCCAATACACGGTGGTGATGTTCTGTGGGTAGGGATGTGGATAGCAGTAGCTGAAGACCTGTAGCCTATCAGGAGTCCATCAAAAGCAGCACGAATAGTGATTGCTGCATTCCCCACTCGCGTCGCCTCTGGAATGACTGACTATCCAAGGACTAAGGATCCTTTGTCCATGTAAGAAACAAAGAAGGCACGCATCTGGCAAACTTGAAAGTTGAAAGAGTCGCTCCAACCAGCACATCATAAACAAAAACTTCAATCCTCTGGGCTTGAATAGTGGCAGCATAATTTGAAACCCGGTTCACATGGATAAACTATAAAGCACACAAAAGATGAGATCACATCTCCACTCCACCAGGAACAGACATCATCAGGAGATGTTTCCAATATACGGCGAAGATGTGCTGTGGGGCGTTGTGAGGCTGAGATGTGAACTCACAAAAGATACGCTTATCCAAAACATATCACTCGCCAGTCACCTACCAAGTGCCATTGGTATTGGGTAAACCAATCTAACAGGACGTGTGTCAAGAATTACCATTAATTTGGCAGAAATGGGATTCCAATTTCTAGAAATGAGATTCCAATTTCTAGAAATGAGATTCCTATTTCAGTCTGTCAAAAATAAAACTCATGATAAAAAGCCCCCAAATCCTAATATTAATAAAATAATAAAATATTATTAAATTAATAATAAAATAATAAAATAAGAGTATGTTAATAATTAAATTGATAATAAAATAATGGTAAAATATTCATAAAATACTAATACTATAATAAAATATTAATAAATTCATAATAAAAAGCAAGGATATTATTTATTTAATAATCATAATAATAATTAAGTATAAATAAAATATTAATATATTATAACTAAAGTAATAATAAATGCTAACGTATTATTTATTAAATAATAATAAATTAACTATAAAATAATAGAATATTAATAAGATAATAAATTATTAATAAAATGTAGCAACAAAAAAATATAATTAAGTAATAATAAAATAATAATCATATATTCATAAAATAATAAATAGACTAATATAAAAATTAAAAAAATTTAGTTGTTTCCAATAACTCCCAATGAACCAAACTAACAACAATTGGAACCCCATGAGACATTGGTTCCCACAGATTCTCAACACTTCAAAATTTATATTGTTGGATCATTTAATCCATTATCAAATCGTGCAAGTGTAGCTTTTGCCATAGCCACTCACAATAATCACTTACTATTTGCATCAAGAACTGTCATTACAACTAGGGGCGGAGTCGAGCTGAATACTTGGATATTCGAGCTGTATTCAGCTCGACTCGTAGGAATAGTATCTAGGCTCAAGCTCAATTCGAGCTAGAGACTTGAGCTCGAGCTTGGCTCGGTTGATTGCTCGCAAGTTCGAGCTCGGCTCAGCTTGAGCTCGACTATAAGCCAAGTTTTTTTTTGAAAAATAAAAAATTATATGTATAAAATTATTATTTTTTATTTTTTAAACAAAAAGTTAAGAATTATAAAAATTATTTACTATTATACATAAAAAATAAATGCATTTATTCATTATGTATAATAAAAATTATTTATTTAATACTAGGCTCACGAGCTAAGATTCACTGTGCTCAAGCTCGACTCGATTAACAAACGAGCCTATATATCAGGCTCGAAGCTCGGTTTAAAGCGAGCTGAGCTCAAATAGCTCGTGAAAGGGTTATATATTTAGTGAGCCTAGTTGTTAAATTATTTATGGGCACGAATTAATTAAACAAAGTTTCTTTTAATAAATAAATAAATGAAATAAAGAGTTATATATTTAGTGAACTATTTAAATGTATGTTGAATTTTCAAAACCTATTTATATGTATCTTATAGGATGGCCCTATATCAAGAGTGAGCAAATGGGTAGGTTTTATTCGGAACCAAATGGAAACGATCTCGAATCGCTTGAACTAACTTTTACCCAATTTGTTATATGATAGGTTCTAGATCCAAATTCTTGGAACCCAACCTAGGTTGGTTCTAGGGTTAGGGGTTTATCCCATCCAAAACTGACCTAATGAGCTGGCCTTGGAACCAAAGTTGCCTTGAAATAAACCCCAAAATATTTTTTTTATTTTAATATTTGAATATGTAAAATAAATAATATAAAAGTTAATACTTACTAAATTTAAATTATAATGACAAAATTTGAACCATATATTAAATTACTCAATTTAATCAATAAAGATAATATAATTTATAAATTATATATTATTATTATTATTATTGAAAATCAAAATTTTTAAAGGTCATGCTTCATTTTTTTTTTGAAAGGGGAGAGTAAAGAAAGAATAGGTTCCATAGGTAGACCCTGGAATCGCCAAGGCCAAAATCGAGACTCGAACCGACCTTCACAAGGTAGGTTCCAATTTAAAAAACTTGGAACCAACCCCTATAGGATATGTCCTAGGTTCTACCATGAAACCGAACTGACCCATGCTCACCCCTACCCTATATAACACAAATAGGCCATCTGTTAAAGAAATACCACAGCTATTTGATACACTATTCAATTCTTGTATATTCCCATTTTTATCCTTGTTCTTCCTTCCTCCCCTCTCCTAATCAAACGAACAAAGATTTCTAGCTTAAGCCTTGAACCCTTTTCTAAATCCAGCCTAGAGCCTAGAATCCTTAATTATTTGAAGGGCTTCTTTCTAAAGCCTTGAACTCTCACTATTCCACCAATGTCTATTTTCTCAAGCTCAGTTTGGAAGGAGTACAAATACAAATATATAGAATGAAAAAACCTTACATTTTGTATGTATTTTGTATTTGTACTCCTTCCAAACTGAGCCTCATGTGATTATTTTAATACACCGTACAAATTCAAAGGTCATGATCTATGGTGGGTTGACAAATCAATCTTCAAAATGTTGGGCAAATATTCTCTCTCCTCATTGTTATCGAACGGGCCAGAAGAGTGAGGACATGGTTAAGGGTGTTTGGCTGACCTTCTGAGAGCAATGTCAATGATGATCAAAGTCATAACTGACAAAGTACCGTTATGATCCAAAAGCCACTTGCGACGTCGTCGTCGAAGGAGCATGATAGCATGGTTGATTAAAGGGAACAAGGAACATTGACATAGAATGAGGTCAAATGGGTTCTTAACCTTCGAAAGTTCAAAAAGGTATATATATATATATATATATAAATTGTTTTTAAAAGTTTATGGTATATACAAGTATTTTCTCAAATGTATATATATATATATAATTAACCCTAAAATAAATAAATAAAATGAGAAAATCTTGACACTTGAAGATGTATTTATACAATTACAAAGACCCCTTGTACTATGGGGTCAATGGTAATTACACCTTGAACCTTTATTGTCGATAAAGGCCCTCTAACTTTTATTTTACCACAAAGCCCCTTTCATTGGAGTTCCATCATTTAATGTAAAAAAAGATTGACATTCGACTATTTATTTATTTTTAAATCCCCAAACTATCTTTTTTCTCATTTATTTTTCTAAATATAATATTAAAGTCCTCTTGATTGCTCTAATAGATCATTGCAGATTTCTATTTGGATTTAATATTCAAATGAAACAGTAAGTTTTTTTTTTTTTTTTGTAGATATAAATTTAAGGTT